GATGAGAACTCTTTCCGCCATTTCTTGTATTCAGAACAAGAAAAAACCCAAGTGAAGTGAAGTGAAGTGAAGTAAAAACTTGAAAGTGAGAATATGGTTTTGCCTAGTGAAAGATGACTCCTCCTGCTAGTCTTTGATCTCTATATGCCCTTCTCTAATCCAGCCACTCACATCAGTCCATGTATAAAATAAGACCGGTCAATATATTAAACCCATTTGCAATTTATAGCCGTTGGGTTCCGTCTCCTTTTCTTTCCCTCTACTTTTGTGTTCCCACGCCACCACGTGGCCACCCCTCAAATCCGGATCTCCCCACATGTTATCTTTCCCCCTCTTCGGGCCCACACTTTACTATATTAATCTACCGGCCATTTGAGCATTTGTACACCCGGCTATGCACGTTTACACCCAGCACTTCCAAACACTCACACATGATTCCATATAAAAAATAAAAACAAAGACTGGTCAATATGTTACTGCTGATCTTAGTAATTCAAATTTTATTTTTAATGCCAGCTGGGTCCTTCACGTTTCTTAACCTTTCGGCAGGCCGCTGCACCTTCCTTATTTTTGGGTTGACCGCTGGATTTTTTTGTTTTTTTGAGCAGACCGCTGCACGTTTTTACTATTTTGTCAAGTGTTATCGTCTTATAAGGTGTAAGATGAAAGATTGAGATTGCTTTGATGGAAGTTTGAAGATTGCCAGAACTATGTAAACGTTAGAAGACTAGCAATGAAGCAACATTATACACTAAAAGTAAAAGGGATAATGAGCCATCATAATGTCCTTTTATGATGATGCTATAATCTACACAGAGAGCTGCTAAGAATTAATGGATGGAAAATTTTATTTGGTTTCATTTAATCTTTTTTTACACTCAATTTATTATTTAAACCTCTAAATATTTTTTAATTAAGAACTAATATCTTTTTAAAGCTAAATTTATTACCTAAACTATCATCTCCAACCCAATTCAAAATGTAAAATTATCTTTGCACCCATTTAAAAAAAAAAAAAAATCTCAAATTGAATAGTTTTGTTTTCAAAGAGACTTGAATGTCAAAAAGCATTATGGGTCCCTCCGCCCACCGTAAATCGAGTTATTTGGGGAAAGTACATTTTTTGTTGTTTTACTTTATCTTCAGTGTTTATGCTTAAGCATTTGTACTGCAATTGGAAAATGCATTTGAGGATTCGGAACTTTCATAGTTTTCGGCTTAAAGTCAATGTCTGAATACTTACTCTGCTTTGAGTGGTTTACGTTGTAATTTTAAGTTTATTTTTCTGTTCATTTTATTTTTTGTCCAAGTATTTTTCTGTTCATTGGCCTGGCTGTTTTGTTCATAATTTGGTTGAAGAATGCAGTGTTGAATCACAATAATGATTATACATTGATAGAGATTTATGTTTTTGATTTGAGTTTGTTCCGATTGATGACGTGTACCAGATGCTGTTAACATGAGACTGGAATAGAACAGAAAAAATGGTTAAAGTAACAAACCCACACTCCCACAAAGCACTAAACTCATATCTCGCTCTTTAGCCTTGCCCTTATGAGGGAACAGGCGCTATTCTGCCCAAAGGTGACATTCATGCTGGATTAAGAATTACTCTTTTGCATACGTGCATACATACAAAAGTGACCCTAGGGTATTGAAAATGAAGAACAGTAGCTTTTTGTAGTGTGAGATTGTATCTGAAGTTCAATTGTTCGATGATTAGCTATCCGTATTCTCTGGCTTTTCGAAACTGGGGCGGAATATAAAGTGTTTTCTATTTCGGGCAATTGTTCTTTGTTACCAGTTTCTCTCTGTCATCCGCCTAATCATTTTGTTCGGTTAATGCTTGGAGTTTTAAGTTGTTTTAAACATGCGTTTCTCTTGAGAAATGTTTTAAATCGGGGCTGTCTTTATGTTCATTGGTTAATCACCCGAGCATGAACAGGTCCAGTAAAGTATAGATTTAAGAAATGACCATACATAGAACCTAGTTTTGACTAAGAGCGCCGAAGATTTTTTATCTATGCACAGAAGAAAACACTCTGATATGTTGTAATGCAGTGGGCAAAGAGATTGAATAGAAAATAGGATGTTTTCCAACTGACATTCAGAAATGAGCACCCAATTGAAGTTCCTAGTCCGTCACCTGCACCAGGTAGGGTTCCAATGAAGTTTTCGTGGCCGTGACTGTATCAAGTTCGATTTCTGGAAATAGAGAAAGAGTGCAGAAAAACTTATTATGTGCCACTTTTATCTTTTGTCATCACAAAATTTGCAATCTAAAATAGGAGGTTTTTCGAACTGGCCTTCCGAAATGAGCAGCAAATAAAGAAGTTTCTATTCAATTTCTTGCACCAGTTGGGCTTCTGTAGGAGTTTTTGAAAACAAGCTTGAATAAAGGGCCCACAAGCTGAAAGTAAGTTCAACGCGCAAAACATTTTGGGAATCTTAATGAAACACTTTCGGTACTGTTGATTTTTAACGTTAAGGACATTTTTACCTTGAAAAGTTACTCCTGGTACTATTTACTTACAAATTTATTTTATCCTCTTTATTAAAAACTAAAGTTGTTTAGGACTTTTCGTTAGTTTCCTAAACATATTTTTTGTTTTCGATCCATGCAACTGACGGAACGCTACCTTCCATCAGCACAAACCGTTAAAATTTTGAATTTCAAACTATTTGCTTAATTCGTCGAAATGACACATTTGCAAAAGAAACCGAGAATTGATTCGCAGAACAAGCAGAGAATTTCTCAAAGCAAAACCGTAAAATAGTTCAACTATAATTTTTGGTGCACATTACGTCCCCATTCTGCCAACTTAGGTTACCATTGCCTTTTGAATTGGCCGCCCTCTTGCATCTTCCCTCGTGTCAATTGTAGAAGTCATGATTTCTGTATATATTGCATACAACAGCAAGTTAAAACATATAGGAGTAACAATTACCATAAAATGTTTAGTATTTGCTGTGACATGAAATACTTTTTATTCGTTAATTCTTTTTCGATCAGTTCAATTAAATGTTTATAAGAAGGACGGAAATTACTTTCCTCATATCTATACCAAGGAATAACTTGAAGCATATCAAAGTTAATAAGTTTTAAGAGGGGTGAAAAAAACTTAGCAAAGAAAGAAGGTATTGAATGATCAATAATAAGAATTTGGTCACCTTATTTGATCAATGCCAATGATCCTAAAGTAAGCATTAAGTGCATTAAAATTTGTATGAGCTTGAGAAGCACACATCTGTGAATGATAAGAATAATGCTGGAATTTTTTTTTTTCTACTAAATGGAATACCGATAATTTAATTTAGTAATTAAAAATAGTTTAACACATTGTAGTAAAAAAATTTAAGAGCGTAGACAAAGCGTTTAAAATTTATTGAAATACAATGTGAATTTGGAGTACTTACAAAAAAAAATGTAATGACTGACAAAAGTATAAACATAATTAGAATTTCGGAAAGGAAATTATCAAACAGTAAATTTTTTAAAAGCTTTTGGATTAGTTTTTGAGTCACATTTGACAATTGATAAAAATGACAGCCTACAAAACTCAAAAATAGCTATTTTTTAACATACAGGATTAATGAAAACTCAAAAATAAATAACAGAGAATGTTAAGTCATCCAATATTAAGATAACTTCTTTCTGTATTGTATGTACGTTGTAGTATTAGATGACTTAACTTTTGCTATGTGACGTCCTTGAACGACCAAGAAATAAAACTAATACAGATGCAAGTACAATTAGATGCTTTAAATAAATTACTTGTCTAATCAATCTAAACCGTTCACATTTTCATTAAACAACCCGGAGTTGGTACTTCAAAAATATTAATTTAGCTACAAAGAAAACTACCTGAAGATTCCTGACTTGAAAAGGGCATCCAGCAGGGATAAAAACAGCTTGCTCCAAATGTTGTTTAAGGACCCTGGCTCAATTCTTGATAAAACAGGAAGAAAAACAAAAGAATAAAGTTCAGAATTTTCAAAACCTGAATGCTGAAAATCTAAAGAATATCAAATATTCAAGATCACAGTCACATGCACAACAAAAAGTAAAATGATGTACACTATAAGTATAGACCAGTAAACAGTTAGAAATGCAGGTCACGGTATGTTAAAGTAATTTTCAGAAAACGGGATTTACAAATGTCGCTCAAGCCAGAGTCAATTTGACTTCAATTGTAAAAGCCAAATTCAAAGAACAGAGGTTTCCATTTAAGAAACATGCAACTTCATCAATTTGAACAGAATTCAAGATAAGTGGCCAAAGCATTATGATTATTCAGCTAGTATTGAATAATGGATTCACCATATTTATAACCGACGAAATGCAATCAACCACCAAAATTGTATTCATTAAATAGTTAACCCTATATATTTTGCTAATGAATATTCAAAGTATTTGCCATGAGAGCTAAACAGAGGTTAATGGTCCAGCTCAGCAGATCAGTTTAGAGATTGTTAATGTTTGTTAGTCTGTTAAGTATGTGCCATGAGAGCTAAGCAAGGTGATTAGTTGTTGTATAGATTGTTAACTATCTCTCTGTTGAATAGTTAATTCATTCATACAATTACAGGGCAACTATTATATCACTCTCTCTAAAATTCTTTTTCTCTTTTGTTTACTCTGCATTTCTCAAATATTTCAACATAGTTTGGGAAGCTCAAGTGTACCGGTTGATACTCCACGGCCGAGAAGGGAGGCCAAGTTTGGGAAGTCTAGATTCTTACCTTCTCTGGGTCTGGTACTCCGCATCAATTATCATGAGAGAGAGAGAGAGGGAGAAAGCGGGTATTCGTTGAGAGCGTTTGAGTACTGTATATTGGTACAAAACCAATTAGATACTTGGAATTAGATAAACATCTTACAATCGTGCAAACTGGAACTTGAACAAATCCAAAATAAAATGAAAATAATCATATGAATACCATAGTTTCTCAAATGGCATAGTCCACCTGCATATAAACATTTCCAAGTAAATTCATACCTCAATAAAAAGAGAACAGATGTTGTTGCTGCTTCTAGGGGACTTACTTTCAGGATGTTGTTGCTTCTATGTCTGATGGAGGAACGGATGCCAAGTTCAAATGCATTTTCACCGGAGATGCTATTTCCTCCTGTAAGAGAAAGACTAAAGTGGGGTTTTGAGGTTCTAAATGGAAACTAACTCTATTTCTTGCTGCATTGTAGGATATGTTTTCACCAGGGGAGGGTATGTTGAACTGTCAGAAAAGTTTTCACCAGAGGAAGGTATGTTGCACAGCTTCCCAAAATGAAATTCATGGTATTTTTCTTATTATTAATTACAAGATTTGGGTAAATAAAATTCATGGTATCCTTCTCATTATTAATTACTTAGAATTTGAACACAAAATGAATTCATTTGATAGAAAATCATTGGCAACAGAAGTTACCTGATGAATTTGCCGCGCAGCTGCAACATTCTAGCAAACATTTCGTGAATTTGAGAAGCAGCTGTGCAAGTTCAGTTGCGTTCTGTTTACTTAATTTTCTGTGTTTTTTCTCTTGCTGTTTGGATTTAGGAGCTAAAACATTTTTCTTTCGCAATATTTTTAGGTGGATGATGCGATCTGGGCTGCTGAAAATGCCACATTGAAAGCTGAGATGAGTGGAAAGAAGCTAATGCACTCATGGAACAACTTAAGCTCAACCCTCAGCTTCAGACGTTTCAAGCGTGGCTTTGGGATTCTGCAACTGTGAGTATACACTCTTTCCCGGGTTAAAGGACTATCAAGGTGCTTAGGGTTAGAGTTCGGTGTTTGAATTAAATAACTTTGGGTTAAACCATTCTGTAATATCAGTAGGTTTGTTTTAGGTATCTTATGGTTTTAGAATTGCCTGTGTACAAAGGATTATTATGGCAACGAGATCATGTCGCTCTGGGAAGCTCTTTTGATGGTCGCTGTTGTTGGAGTTATATTAAAAAGAAATATTTAAAGAGGGCTGGAACCCAGTCAAAGCTGGGGGGCTAGGCCCTCACGCCCATATTATATTACTGAAAAAAAAACATTACATGGGGGGGGGGGACATAGTACCTAAACCCCGATGATCAAAAAAAAAAAAAAAACATATAACAACCACTCCAAGCAGTCAATGTGGCCATCACATACTGAATCCAAAAGGTTGACGCCCCATTCGCTGCATATAAGACTATAATTGAAAAGAAGGAAATTAAAGAGAGATTAAAAAAAAAATTGAAGTTAAAAAGTATGGACGACGGAAACTTTGATCCACATGGTAATGTCATTTGAAAAGAAAAAGTAAAATGCTGGTGATGATGAATGAAGAATAAAATTAAGAAATGAGATTGGCATTTGAATATTTCGTAGTTTATATTGGATTAGGCTAGTGTGAATTGAAACAAGTTAGAAAACGCACCTTAATTAATGTCAATGTGTGGGATGTGAGCAATCTTAGGCCAGTCCTCATCTTTTTCTTTCTTGCATCTTTTGCTTAACATGGGGCACCCAGAAATTTTCAGTCTATTTAAACAAGGGAGTCCGCGAATCCCTTCTGGCAGTGATGCCAAATTAGAGCAATGTCTAATTTCAAGTCGCTGGAGTGACGTGAGATTGCTTATTTCTTCTGGCAGTGATGCCAAATCCTCAATTCCACCGAGAGTCAGATGTGTTAATTTGGAGAGATGAGGGGAAGAAGAAGAGGCAGAAACATCAACACCAACATCATGTGGAATATCAGATGCTTCTCTAACAAACAAGGAATCAACAACCTTCCAGCTGCTCCTGTAGAGTTCTATTTCAACCACATTTGGATACAGAGGCATGGAAGTTAGATTAGGACACTCATCAATAGACAATTTAGAAAGACGAGGAAAAGACGGCAACGACAGATTTTCCGTTGATGAAGAAGCACTGTTATGAGTGTGGGGCCTCCACCATCCCTTCAGAACAGGGCAATCTTCTATGGAGAGCTTTTCCAGGGAGGGAAAGAATGAGATCCTCATCATCTCATCACTCATACTGTTACTGCTCTCATTCTCTGATATGTACTCCAACTTCTTCAACTCTCTGAGTTCAAGAAACTTAAGGGAAGGGAAATGATCCAAGGGTGGAAGATGTTGGCATCTCTCACACCAATACAATGCGAGATTAACAATATTTGTGAGAGAAGAAAACCAACTCGCAAACCTCACACCTTTATAGCCATACACGGACAACTGCTTTAGATTAGAATGGGGTTGCAATACTTCCATTGACTTTATAATATCCTCCCCATCAACTGCGCTTACATCTTCCTCTTTCCAGCGTAAACCCAACGAACAAAGATGCTGTTTGTCCTTGAGAGGTGTACCTACATTTGATTCTGACACCACATCTTTCTCGTGCCTCAAATTCTTTATGAGTAATTCTCCCCTTAATTCGTTAAGGGTCCCCAGCTCAGCAAGACCAGCACTACCGCCCCTCCCCAAACAATTGCTTTCGCTCAAAACAAATCTATTCAATGTACGAACACCATTCAATTCACCTATTCCACGTGGCATTCCACTCAATCCATAACAGCCTTCCAAGATGAGATGCCTTAAGTTGATCATTTTTTTAAGGTCTCTAGGCAATTGCACAAGACTTTCACACCAACTGAGATCTAGTGTTTCCAAATTCGAAAGTCCAACTATCCAATCTGGAAGTCTCTTCATGGGATTCCCACTAAGCTCAAGATATCTCAAATGTTTCATTTTTTTAAGACATTTATATACTCTTTTAATTCCCAATTCATTAAGACTCAATATACGCAATGACTTAAAATTTGAAACAATTGTAGCACAAAATGACCCATCTCTATCTCTCAACTCCTTTTGGCAAAGAAAAAGAAAAGTTCGTATCTTTTTTGCTTTTGGCAACGAAGTTGGCACTTCCCTTTCCAGCGGATCAATTTGACAATTGAAAGATACATGACGAAGCTTTTCATGAAAATTTTTTTGGTTTGGTTCAACTACGGCGCTTCCAACCCCCGACACTAAGATTGCAAGTTCATTCATGAGATCGTGCATTTTACAACTTCTTATTATACCAAACTTATCTTTTTCTTCTTCTTGAAAAAACGATCTCCACAACAACTCCTTGTAATATTCATATGCAACATCCTCCAAACCCTTGTTTTCATCAGTTGACTTAATGAACCCTTGCGCCACCCAAAGTCTAATCAATCTCTGTATAGAGATCTCATAATCAGGTGGGAACAAACTACAATAAGCAAAACAATGCTTCAAATGTGATGGGAGCACATCATAACTCAATTTAAGTGTTGGTAAAATATCTTTTTTTGTTCTTGATTTATTTTTGAAAGTGTCTTTTCTTTGAAATTCAACCAATCAGTTTCGTCATCTTTGGTGAACAACATCCCACCTATCGTCCTTATAGCGAGTGGCACTCCCTGGCATTTTCTTGCAACCTCTTCCCCAACTGCCTTAATTGTTGAATTCTCTGGCTCCTTTCCATCTTTATAAGCCATTTTCTTAAATAAAGACCAACTTTGCTCTTCATTCAAACCCTTTAAGGTGTATGATTCAGCTGCGTCTGATATCGTTGCAACGATTTTACTACGAGTGGTTATTAGTATTCTACTACCTTCTCCACCACCCATTAACTAGTTCTTCAAGCTAAGCCACTTCTCTCGATCCTCATTCCACACGTCATCCAACACAAGTAGGTACTTCTTCCCATCTACTTTTTCCCTCAGATCATTTTGCAACTGCTCAATCTCGTCATGATTTTTGGATTGAAGGATTTTCTTAACTACGATATCCAACTCAAATACATTAGAGACACATGTCCATATTTTCAACTCAAAATGCTTTTGAATCACCTCCTCGTTGAATATGAGTTGGGCAAGTGCAGTTTTTCCCAATCCTCCAATTCCAACTATGGAAATGGTTGACACATTCTCAGTTGAGATGGAATCCAACAAAAGTTGGATAATTGCCATTTTATCTTTATCTCTCCCTATAATATTTTCCTTACGGACAAATGAGTGAGTGACCCTCTCTCTCTTTACAAATCGTGTATCTTCACGATTTACTTCTAAGTGAAAGGTTCTACGATTTGCAACCTCACTCAGCCTTTTGTTAATATCTTTTATCTTATGACCCATCTTTAGCCCAAAAACAAGTTGATTTGAGCTAGAAAAAAAAAGGCCTACCTGTAAGAATTTGAATAGACATAATCATTAATATGAAAGAACTATATTAATTAAGTTAATAGAGTTTTGTAACGTTAAGTTATATGAAACATTCAAAATAATAACGCAGAGAACTTATTGCAGTTAATTGAGTTATTGAGAGACTTATTGTATTCCTAATAGGTGGATATCTATAGGCTAATGTGACTATGAAAAGGTTCTATGAGATGCAACCTCACCAAACCTCTTGTTAATATCTTTTATCTTATGTCCTATCTTTTAGCCCAAAAGCAAGTTGATTTGAGCTAAAGAAAAAAGAGGCGTACCTTTTTTAATAGCTTTGTATTTTCAGGCATCATTTTTCTCCGTTGATTTTTAGTATTAAACTCATCCAACACGTCATCGGCTTCATAAACTGCGTCTTCTACACTTTGGAGCCACAGTTTGACTTCATTGTTGGCTTGCTTTTGCTCAGCGTCAAGAAGAACAGCTTGGAATCTGGCCACTGTCTCTTTGAGCTTCTGGAACTCGTCTTGGACACCCCAAATCAATCCAATCTCTTGGAAAACTAGGGAGCCTAGCCTCTCAATGATCCCTCCTGCAACGTTGAAGAGAACTCCTTCCGCCATTTCTTAGATTCAGGACAAGAAAAATGGTTTTGCGTAGCAAAAGATGGCTCCTCCCGCTAGTCTTTATATGCAGCTACTCACATATAATTCCATGCATAAAATGAAAACGAGACCGGTCTATATGTTACTGCTGGTCTTCATAATTGTCTTCTACTTTAGTCTAGTGGCTTAATAAAGTATTGAATGATTACAATCAGACAAATTAGAAAACACAATCAATCAATCTACTTTTTTTTTTGTGGAGAGTATCAATCATTCTACTTTAGTAAAGTATTAACTAGTGCTCTTCATCGGTAAGAAGAAACAGAACTCTCTCACATCCTCTTCTCATCCCTTTTTAATTTCTTATCTTACATTCTTTTATTTTATCTTTTTTTCTTGCTATAAAAAAATTAATGTAAGATGTTGATGTAGCTTAACTGTTACCGTTCAAATATAAGAAAAAGAAAGGGAAGAAAAAAAAAAGAGGGGAGAAAATCCTATCCCTAACAAAAAACGCCAATTACAACAAATCACGGGACCCACATGCTACCCCCAAGATCCTCTCCTAATCTAAGGATGAAGATCCTCATGACCAAGGAATGTGGGCCGTTGGATGAAAATCTAACGGCTACAAACAGGAAGTCCCTTTAAAGTTATAATAATTATAACCGTTGAATTTTCATCCAACGGTCCACATCCCTTGATCATGAGGATCTTCATCCTTAGATTAGGAGAGAATCCTGATCCCATTCCCACTATTTGCGCATTTGTACACCTAGCGCTGACCGGTTCTACACCCATCACTTCCAACTAGAAGCAATCATTCCAATTTTATTGGTATCTTCACTGCTAATTTGTTCGCCGATGCTCACATTTGTTTTGTAATTAATAAAATATAATTATACATCGTATTTTGTTTATGTTTGAGCCGCTGTGAAAATTTGATCTACTCAAATTTCTTACGCTTTCTTTTAATTTTTTTTTTTCAGCTGAGAAAATTGGAGGGGATGATGACATATCATAGTGTTCATTTATGTTGATAATATACTCTACACTAGGAGCTGACAAGAATTAATGGATTAATTTAAATTGGTTTCCTGAATTTACTCTAAAAGTAAAAGGAATGTTGAGATATTATTATTATAGATTGGTTTCTAGAATTTCAGTTTATTTATTAGATGCTATGAAATTAGCCTGAGGGTCAATATATAAATGGAAGCAAGTACTAAAAAGCTCTTCATTTTTAAGAAAGAGATTTTAGGTTTGAGTCTCGCCAAATAAGAATTTGAATCACATTATTACTAATTTATTGTGAGGCTAAGCCCACCCATCTCTACTTTAGTGTAGATAATTTCATTTTTTTTTTTTAAATCTCATGCCCCCTAAGTATTGAAACTCTTGATTTTCATGAGTATAATTACTGATATTTAGTGGACTTCGCCTATTTTTTTCATTCCTAAAAACTTATTAAACAATTAAACCATAGAATCAATTTAGAAAGAATCCAATTCCCTTTTTTTCACTCCCATTCCACCTTAATAAACATATAAATATACCCTTCCGAAGAAATCTCAAATTTAAATTTTGATTCTCCAATTAATTAAACAAAATTATAACATTTTCACAAGTTTTGAATGGTATTCATATTGTATCCCTTTTCCACAATATAAGGCTAAACCCCTCAATTATGGGGACAAGGGAAGTCATAAATTGGGGTCCATTTGGGAATGAGGAAATTTCAAAGCTCAATCCAATATTGATTACAATCAGACAATGAGGATCGGAGGGGATCCTCATCCGTACTTTTTAAACCCATTTGCAATTTTATTGGTATCTTCAGTTTTAAATTTACCCATCAATCCTCACAAATTATATTATTAAATTTAGTACACTATGAAATTTCTTTGATTGAATTCCAATCATTCTGGAGTCTCATAATAAACTAAAATGTAATCATTCTACCTTAATCTACAGGATTTGATTTCCAACAAATGTCCTCTCTCCCCCTTCCTGGGCCCACACGCAACTATATATTGCATTGTGTTTGTGTTTGAGCAACTGAGAAAATTAGATCTACTCCAATTTCTAGTTTCAAAACGATGGTTGAGATAAAAAAATAATGATAATACTACCCTTTTGCCAAGTGTCTTCATCTTATAAGACGTAAGATGAGAGGCAAAGATTACTTTGATGTAAGCTTAAATATTGTCAAAACTATGTAATTGTTAAAAGAGTTCTAGTGAAGCAACATTATACATATACTAAAACCCAACACAAAAACCATTGTTCATTAACAGTGAAAGGTCTGTATTATAGATTTGTTTTTAATAAAATTGATTTGGTTTTGCATATCAGAATTTTTAAGCGACAAAATCAACCTACAAATCTAGTTCAGGTATGAATGCTTCCGTTTATTTAGATTGTTGAATTGATCTTTACCTTTACTAGATTTTATTTTTCAATGTTGTTTGCTACATTATTGTGTTATTTTATTATTAATAATACTAATTTGGTTTTGTAGATTAAGATTTTTAAGCGAGAATCAAGTTCAAAATTCAATTGAGGTATGAATCTGTTTGGGCCCAAAATTACACCATCGGTCCGAGCAATCGAGACCGTTGAATAAGCATATTTTAGACCGTTGAATGATAAAGTGGTTGAAATGATTTTTAGTTATTATTGAGAAGTAATATTTTGATTTTAATCATAATATTATCTCTTAATATTAACTAGGATAGTTAAAACCTAATTTTTGATATATCCAGATGGTTGTTTTGGAAAAAATGAACTGATCCGTCTTCAAAGGATTGCGCTGAGACATTCGATTGGCTCATTATATCAGACTCTAAGTGCATGCAGTCTATTACATGGCTAATTATGACCAAAACCTAAGTCCTATTTCTGATATACAAGTAGGTGGTGCGGTACAAATGAACTTGGAATTCATGGATGAGATTGGTGCACGTGGTCTTATCTAGGATTTGGTGAAGGAGTCATGCATGCATGTGGTCTTCGGCAGAAGGTTTTGATTATAGATAAAGGTTATGATAATGATGAATAAAGGTTATTAGTCAAAGCAAGATTGCATCAGGTTGCAAGATGACAACAAATTTTGATAAGACGTGAGTAATAAAGACTTAGAGTCACAATACAATTAGGATTGGTTTTCGCGACTTAGGCTTGCATATCTCTATAAATACCAAGCTGCAGACAACTAAAAGGAGACCTCCAATTCAACATACAATTATCCTACGCAAAACCCGTCAAACATCTTGAGATTTTTATTTTCTTTTTCTCGCCGACACATCTTCAGTTTGGATAAACAGCACTATGAAGGCAACCAGCGAACATCATCAACCGATCGAGGAGCACCTTCAGTTTGGATAAACAGCACTACATCAAGGCCGACTGGTTACCTATCCAAGTCTCAGTCGAGAAGGGTTTCCGAATCTTTATTGGCAAAAGTCATCTCATTAGCCTTCTCGGCGAAGTAAGATGTTACGAGTTATGACATTTGGCGCATTGAACGCCGAGTGATTTTATGATTGGATACTCACAAGTGAGTTTCAGAGTTCGGCATTTTGACGGTCGAATCACATTCACCATCAAGACATACATCACCTTTGAATACTTATGTCCGTACAATCTGGTGTCGATTCGACGTGCTTATACTCTCACGAATATAATCATTGTAACCAAATCTGGCGCCGCCGACGATTTGTGAACTTCACAGAACTAGCAGCCTTGTCTTCAGGCTCGAGAATCCAAAGGCCGAGATTTGTTCCTTCCTCGGCCGCAGTCGCAAGATAAAGAAGTCAGCAGCGTGCTCAATGCAACATCAACAAATTTTACTCCTCGGCCGACGAGTTGGCACGCCCTGCATCCAACCGAAGGATGTAGTTAGCTTATTAGTTACTCGGCCTGCGCGCCACGTAGATTTTGTAATTTTTAGAATCAACAGAATCTTTTGGCTTATTTGGGCTGTTGAATTCATCCTTGCTTTTACTGCATTTTTTTTATACTGTTGTTTGGTGCATTCTAGTATTGATTTCATTGTAATTTTATGGATTTTAAGTGGTTATTTGGATTTTGGATTGTGAGAAGGATCTGGTGGGTTTTCAAGATAATCAAATAAGTTCGGGATTTTTACCATTTCTCTCTGCATGCTTCTAGCTGTTGTGTGTGTGTGTGTGTACTATTCAATTGTTTGCATTTATTTTTTTCCTTTCGTTTTTACTCAATTTTTTTACTTTTTCTCCATGTGTTGCTTCATGTATGTTTCTCAATTGTTTGAATTTACTCTTTGCCTTCAGTTTTTACTGAATTTATTGACTTTTTGTGCATGAGATAATTTATTTGTTATATGTCATGGTTAAAGGTTTGGGTTCTTTCTTTTTTCTTTTTATCAATCCTCTCTCTATACGATTTAAGTTGAATTACCATGGGATGTACAACAAAGGAGGCTAAAAGGCAGTCTGGCCCCAGGAAAAGGCCATAAACAAAGCAAGGAAGAAGACCACTGGTTAAAAAGGCTAAGTAGTCCGAAAGAGATTTATAACAACACATAAAGCGTAACTTTTGTCCAAATCCTAGACATCCCACTAACCCAGAAAAATACAAAATGACAGCTAGCTACTCCAACGTGATCAACACCTTTGCTTCATTTGCCACGTTGGTGGGTTACCCTGAACCCCTCAAATAGTTAACAAATCATCCAAACGTGTTTCACGTTGATGAATTATCCTGAACCTCTCAATAATTAACAAATAAACTAGCATGCTTTCACAGTGCATCAGCTCCCACTATATCGTTAACTTTTAGCCCTCAAGTCTTAATTAAGGTTTTTTTTTTTTGTTAAGTATTTTCTTCTCTGGGATTACTTTAATTATGCAGGCATCCTTGGCTGCATTGCCTTAAAAATGCATGCAATCTCGGACACACGCACTAGCGGAGCCAATGCGGGGGCATTGGCATCCCTTGGCCCCAATAACCTTGTCAAGTTATCCCTTAGAAAATTTTATGAACCCATATAGCTGCAATGCTACTTTGTTAAGTTATCCCAATAACCTTTTACTTCTAAACTTATCCTTAAGAAAATAAAAAATAATTTTTAATTAATACTTTTTTAATTTAACAAAATTACTGCATTGAAAAGAATTAGTAGTCTTGCACAAAAGTTGACGGAGACAAAGAAGGATAGACAGAATCCCTTGGTGTGCTTGTTTGTGAAATTAGCATTGATTTTACCTGTTGCAATTGCTTTAGT